GAATGGTTCTTTGTGGAACCAAAAATGGTTCTTCTATGGCATCTTTTGAAGCACCTTTATTTTTAAGAGTGTATATTCAGTATACAATTATAGTTTTTATTAATATTATGAATTAGCTTTTATTTTTATTTTAGTTCCATTTTTAGTTGTTTTGTTACATGCTCTTGTAATTTTAATTTAAAAATTATTATTTAAGATTTCTCATTTTTTATTTCAGTTTTAGATTTGATTTATTTCCAGTTCAATTTGCTTCAATTTAAACATATTTCAGTGAGTTGCCAAAGCAGCATTTCTCATTTTCATTCAGCTGAATCATTTCATTTAGTTTTTCATTGAATATTTATTTTCATCGTTTATGTGTTATGTGCTTTTTACATTTGAATAGTTTTTGCTATTTTTTAAATGTCAGTCATTTTTGTTGTGAAATTAAAGGTAAAGTGTGTCATTTCTGTGCTAGTAGCAAAAGGAACTTCAAAAACGTTTATTGTTTCCAAACACGTTTCCCAATAGTTTCACGATTAGGGGAAGAAATACGTTTCGCCACCCCTGAAGGGGTTAAAAATGTCCATTACTAAAACTCATTTTAATTTTATTTCCAGTAACAAAAATGATAACTACAATTACCTTGTTTCTGTGTCATCATGGCCTCTATACACGCCCAACTAAAATCAATACTTCATGTCAATGTATTTATTTATTTGGTAAGTAGCCATGAAATAAGCTTTACACCAGGGTTTATTTTCCTATAATTGCTGCATCTATGAATTATCAGACAGACTCTGTTTTTGAATTCCAGGTGTTTGGGCTTGGCACTGTTGCACAAGTGGTCACAGGAAATGGTGTTTTTGGAGAGTATTTCAGCATAAATGTAGGCTTTGGGCTGAGTGTGGCTATGGGTGTGCACGTTGGTGGAAAAGTGTCAGGTGAGACCCTCTTGACCCCAAACACCAGGTCAGAGTTCACTGTTTTCCATAATGACAAATAATCATGCAAAATGTTTTACTCTATCACATAGGAGCTCATATGAATGCAGCTGTTTCATTCACAATGTGCGTGTTTGGCCGTTTGCGCTGGAAGATGTTCCCACTGTATGTTTTTGCCCAGTTTCTGGGTTCCTTCCTTGCTGCTGGGACCATTTTTTTACTTTATTATGGTGAGCAAATACTCATCTTCTTCTGGAGTTATTTTTGTTCTTAGTGTTGGAGTAGGTCAAATAAATTGCCACAAGGTTTCTTCGCTCACATCTGTGCTGTGCTTTATAGATGCTATACATCATTACTGTGGGGGCAATTTCACTGTGTCGGGCCCCAAAGCAACAGCTGGGATCTTCGCTACATATCCAGCACCTTTCATCTCAATCTACACTGGATTCTTTGATCAGGTATTCTGAAAATGAATATAAATGCTCCATAATTAACTATGATATGAACCAAAAACATGATAAGGATAGTTAACCCAAAAATGAAAATATGCTAAAAATCATTGATTTTGTATTTATCACAAAATACAAAATACTCACCCTCAGCCATCCAAGATGTTTCTTTATCGGAACAGATTTGGAGAAATGTAGCATTACATTGCTTGCTCACCACCAGCGGATCATCTGCAGTGAATGGGTGCCGTCAGAATGAGAGTCCAAA